AAAAGGCATAATTTATATTCATTTCCTAATTTTTTATGGTGGTTACAAGATCGGTCAAATCTACCAAACCCATACTGAGATTAATTACTGAAAATAACAGATAAAATATAATGTTTTTCTTAAGAAACATTTGTTAACTATCTGGACATTATAAAGATTTTGCATGTGAAATTTTAAATTTTCTGATGCATAAATGTATTTTTAATCTCAAAATGAAGATTACTTTGCATCATAGATAAGCAACATGCGAAAAGAAAAAAAAGACAAGAGAAAAATATTGCTTTACAAACCTTATAACTTAATAAAAAAATTTGATATTTTGTGTATGAAACCATTGTAATGTTTACTGATAATCTGCCAAATTTCGTTAACATTCACTTACTTATTTAAAAGTTATAGCACAAAACCTATAACAAGCACAAGATGGTTACGAGGTCGGTCCAATGGACCGAGCTCGTGCTAAAAGAGTTAATACAATAATAAAACTATGAATCTGATTGAAGACACACTCCCTCTCTACTTATTGCTCAGTGGTTATAACTAATATACAAAATTAATATGATTAGATCTTTTGAATAAAAAAAAACAAAAAGTTGAAATATATATGCAAACACTAACATACATCCTGCTGCGTACGGTAGCACGTGCTAGACAAGCAACTACTTTTGAATTTTCAACCAGGCAGAAAAAAATCTTAATTTGTTATAAAGTTACATAAAATATTATAAGAAAATAGGAGTTCACCCATCAATAGGGTAAAATACAGATAAATTAAAATTTATATATTACAGAGATATTTTACCATCACTATTATTTAGGTAACTTCTATGAATTGTGTTTCAAAATGAGAAAAAAAACAAAAAACATTCCTACGGTAAATGTATGTTGGAAAGTAGCAGCTTACATCCTGCTGTCTTACAGTCTCATTTCAGGATATAAACTTAGCAGCTTACATCCTGCTGTCTTACAGTCTCATTTCAGAATATAAACTTAGCAGCTTACATCCTGCTGTCTTACAGTCTCATTTCAGGATATAAACTTAGCAGCTTACATCCTGCTGTTTTATAGTCTCATTTCAGGATATAAACTTAGCAGCTTACATCCTGCTGTCTTATAGTCTCATTTAGGGATATAAACTTAGCAGCTTACATCCTGCTGTCTTACAGTCTCATTTCAGGATATAAACTTAGCAGCTTACATCCTGCTGTCTTACAGTCTCACTTCAGGATATAAACTTGGCAGCTTACATCCTGCTGTCTTAAAGTCTCATTTAAGGATATAAACTTAGCAGCTTACATCCTGCTGTCTTATAGTCTCATTCAAGGATATAAACTTATGTTGAGAAATGACAATTTACACTTTATTTAATTGTTATATGTCACTCAAAAATCATATACACGCTTTTCTAGTCACATTTGTTCTATGTTTTAATATGTATCTATATACTAAACCTTCCTTTATTTAGGGGGATATTTAGAACTATACTTTTAACTAAACATTATTTTAAAAATTGGAAACTAAACAGCTGAGTATTACCATAAATGCTTGCTTCCTCTTTAAAGCTTCCTGGTGTTTCATCTCTTCATCATGCAGCTTAGCCTCCTTCTGATGCTGTAGAGAATTGTACATTTCTCGTATAGCACGTAATCGACACTTCTGTAAACATGAGTGGGAGAGATACTTCAACAAACATCAATGATGTGTGGTTCAACTGTCTAAACACCAAAGTGTACAGCATATAATTTAAAAACATCTGTACAACATATATTATTATTTTAAAATTTATGATAATAACTTTCTTCACATGGCTCGTTCAATTTGACCAACCAGGTGACCTTTTTGTACTCGTATAGTCTTTATAGATTTGATACTACTGACTTTTGATATAGTGTGTATATCCTCACAAAATTTGGCAGTTTTTCACCTACAAAAAATCATATTTTTTTAGTGAAGTATTTTTAATAAACTAAAATAAAGATTTGTCCTTGAATATATTGAGTATTTATTTTGAATAGTCTGTGTGCAAAGTAATTTTCATGTTAAGATTAAAAATACTTTTCTTCATCTAAAGATTCTCAAATTTCATTTGTATAATCTCTGAAACCTCTTAAATACATTTCAAATGTTTGTTTTCAGTAAAACTTTATATTTTATCTGTTATTTTCTCTACCCTAAATCAATCTAAATTACCCTCCTTTTCTTTCTAGAATGACTTCAAATGTAGCACGAAACTACATTCGTTTATCCTTAGTAGCTTTAAACTTGTAACAATATACATTTATTTATAATTAACTTTTATTAACCTTTTGATTGCCCTTTGAACCATGTCTAACTACTATTTGAGCCATTATAAGTTGTAAATTGCTTGAGGAATGTGCAGCTCACATTACACTATCGAATTACATTACCCACAAGCTACTCATATGTGTGCCTCGTGAAACTTTTTTATCATATTATTATTATTGTTTATTTTACCTAATCTAACCTTAACTAACCTAAAGAGATCTCTATTTTGACATCTTAGTTACTTTTATAACAATAAATAAAGAATAAACATGAAAAAACAAGAAATAAAGTACTTACCCGAGTTTTTTTTTCACTCTCGATTATTAATGACAATCAACCCTACTTTTTTTATACTAATGACAGTAGTGCATTAAATAATGCACCAAAGAACATAGAATAATAACATGCAAAAAGTAGACAATTTCCTCTAACAATCACAATTTTTCTGGCTTTCTAACTATGCGACAATAGCTGTTACAGATAGCCATGGTGATATGAATAAAGAAACCTGATTAGATTTAATTAACAAAAACAATTACCACACAATGCTGACCAAACTATTATTATAATTGGTGGTACCTCAGGAGTATTTTGTCTCTGACTCTTAATAAGCATGTTCATCTGATGATGCTTTCGACTCTGTTCTTGTTTCCTTCTGGTGTCTTGAAGTTCTTTATCCCATTTTTTTTTGCTTCAGCTTTCTTTTCTTCTTCTTCTATTCGGTATTGATATCTTTTCACCATCAACTCCATCAACCTGATATCCTAATGAAAACAAGTATAAAGGAATGAGATCCTAAATTATAGCCAAGACTTTAAATTTACTAAGTATTCAAATTCTGCTTTTTTCCTTTCTCCTTTGCATCATTTAAAGATAAATGTATAGTGATTATATTTAAGCTAATAAGTAAGTACTAATTGTAAGTATATTGAATTTTTTTCATAAAATTAATTCCTTTAGCTAAACAACATAAAGTGTTAATGATAAAAAAAAAGTTAGACCTCATCTCCATCCCTTATCCAAAACTCTAATTTGGAAATTGGAACTAATTTATAAGCTTACAAAAACAAGCTTGTTTTAGAGAAAAACCACATAATGGGATATCTGTGTTCTGTCCACCATGGGGAATCAAACCCTGGACTGTAGCAATTGAGTGCTCTGTCCACCATGGGGGAATCAAACCCTGAGACTGTAGCATTGTGAGTCTGTACACTTACAGCTGACCCAACAGAATACTATGGACAAGTCTAAAATACTTAAAACCCAATGCTAACTTTATCAATTTTAAACAGAGCAAGTTTAAGCACTAACTTTATGTGACTGGAAACATTTCTTTAAATATCAATATTAGAAAGTTATGACTATTTTTATTTTTTGCTGTCGGGTCAGACTGTTCTAAGTGTGTGTTAAACACTCTTGGTTAGTTCCTAATTTTGTTTACGTTTGTAACTTATGTTTCCCACTGCTGGAGTTTGTTAGTTACCTAAACAAACTTTTTTACACATGTATTTTGTATGTCGTCTCTTGCTTGACTTTAACTCTTAAATGTGAATGTGTTTACATACAAACATAAAACCAAGCAGAAAAGAAAAGAAAGTGTGTTCTGGTACAAATCTTACATGTACAAGAACTGTTTTATTAATTACAATATTAGCATAAAATACTCATGCTCCACTGCAGGGTTCATTCCCCCCCCCCCCTTATGATTCACAGAGGCCCCAATTTACTGATCAAGCTCCTCCATTATCTTCAACTATATCTATAGCTACCAACAACCCAAGGGGGGTGGGAGTAGAAAAACAAAGTCACGATACCTGTTCACAGTACCTAAGTACACGTGCCAAATTTTATCCCACTAGCTTGTGAATGGCGGTAGGAACACAGTTTCAAATATCGTGTCACTAAAATATAGGAGGAGAGGGGTAGTAACACTAAATTTTATATCAGCAATCTGAAAACCTACTCCATGGTAGAGGGATACACTTTATTTATATCTGTGTGTGTATACTCCCTCCCCTAGTCAACCTGTCAAGTTTGCACCTGGAGCTGTGGGAGGAGTTAGCTGGAAGTGTATATATATATATATATATATAACAAAACTACAAGCTGTATTAGTATGGGATTATGCTGAATACATAAACAATGCAACATTCCTGAATGACTTTGATATTTGGATAGCATGAAAATATATTTATAATTAAAAACCAATTAAACTCTGAATACTTTTAATGCTCTTTTATACAAAACATTTTTTTTCTTGATATGCAACAATTATTATTACTAAAAGAAGTACAATAAGTTTGATTACGATAAAAAATAAAACAAACAATATTTAACTGCTTGCTTAAGTCCAAAGATCCTCCAAGTTTCAAATATCCCTCTGAATAATTTCCGGTACTAAACTAGAAACCTTTTCCATAACTGGAAATAAAACAAACAATATTTAACTGCTTGCTTAAGTCCAAAGATCCTCCAAGTTTCAAATATCCCTCTGAATAATTTCCAGTACTAAACTAGAAACCTTTTCCATAACTGGAAATAAAACAAACAATATTTAACTGCTTGCTTAAGTCCAAAGATCCTCCAAGTTTCAAATATCCCTCTGAATAATTTCCAGTACTAAACTAGAAACCTTTTCCATGACTGGTTAGTTATTAATACATCCTGAAGCAAACTTAGTAATGGAAATTACACGGACCAACCTACCAACTTATATATACAATTTTACAGATGATTTAAAGATAACAATGTGAACAAATTACTTTACAAACAGCAAGGACTACACTTTATGTCAGATCCTCATAGCCATTCAGTATGAAAGATCAGTTGTGTTCAAACCAGGTCACCTCATAAAAACTTGTACAAAAGGATTCTTTACAGAATATAGAAATAAACTGTGATGAATATCATTTGTATGATCACATGATATCAGGGTATTCACAAGTCCCTATACATTAATAACATGTATCAGAACATAGTAATCATATGATGTCTATACATTTAATAACATGATATCAGGGTAACTACAAGTCCCTATACATTAATAATGTGTATAAGAACATAGTAATCATATGATGTCTATACATTTAATAACATGATATCACATGATATCAGGGTAACCACAAGTCCCTTTACATTAATAATGTGTATCAGAACATAGTAATCATATGATGTTAGCACATTTAATAACATGATGATAACACGATGCCTGTACATTTAGTGAGATGCATAATAACATGGTAATCGTATGACATCTATAGATTTAATAACATGCATCGTATCACAGTAATCATATGACATCTATATATTTAGTAACATGCATGATATCATGATAATCATATGATGCCTGTACATTTAATAACACATGCCATATTGTGGTAATCATATAGCACCAGCAGTCAAATTAAAGATTATGATCAAGTGACACAAGTCATATGAAAATGAACCATTAAAACAACTTGCATTTCATCACAGTGATTTACTTTACATTCATGCATTAACTAAAAGACAAGGCAATTTTTTATTTAATGATAGAAATCACACACATCTTTTTTTACACACTTGTTTACGCAACTAGTATACCCATACCACAAGAAAATTGTAACCAGCAAGATTTCCTTAAAATACAGTTACAGAAAGATTTAATGACAATGTTATAAGGCATTATTGTGAGATGATCTACTGACGAAAACAACTTACTGAACACTGTCCACTTCACACGTACTTTTCTGTACAGAATCAGACACACAAACGGTCAATATTTGTATTCTAAAATCATGGTCAACATGCTTTTGTCAAAATGTCTTAATCGAAGAAAACTAAAAAGCAAAATGGAAATTAAAAGGTTGCTATTTATTTAATGAAGAAATTACTATTATGAGGATCAATAAATATAATAGAAGGTTATACTAGGATAACAGTATAATTTATATAGGGCAAGAAACATATAAAGTTTTGAATAACAGCTCGAACAAATCATCACAGTTCACAGCATGGGATAATTAATTTTTTGTAGCAGCCACAAGGATCACAGACATCTTTTAAATTTACCCGGTAATAACAAAAACAATTCCTATTGATGTAATGTAGTTTTTTTCAGAAGGAAAAAAAAAGATAATTCTCATACTGTCAAAAAGGAGCAAGAAAGAAAATAAACTCAATGTTAGTTGCAAGACAAGTAATGCAAGACTCCTTCTACCACGTGCAGTGTAATATAGTTTTCAAACACCTTCTACCATGTGCAGTGTAATATAGTTTTGAAACACCTTCTACCATGTGCAGTGTAATATAGTTTTCAAACACCTTCTACCACGTGCAGTGTAATATAGTTTTGAAACACCTTCTACCATGTGCAGTGTAATATAGTTTTGAAACACCTTCTACCATGTGCAGTGTAATATAGTTTTGAAACACCTTCTACCACGTGCAGTGTAATATAGTTTTCAAACACCTTCTACCACATGCAGTGTAATATAGTTTTGAAACACCTTCTACCACATGCAGTGTAATATAGTTTTCAAACACCTTCTACCATGTGCAGTGTAATATAGTTTTCAAACACCTTCTACCACGTGCAGTGTAATATAGTTTTCAAACACCTTCTACCATGTGCAGTGTAATATAGTTTTGAAACACCTTCTACCACGTGCAGTGTAATATAGTTTTGAAACACCTTCTACCACGTGCAGTGTAATATAGTTTTGAAACACCTTCTACCATGTGCAGTGTAATACAGTTTTGAAACACCTTCTACCACGTGCAGTGTAATATAGTTTTCAAACACCTTCTACCATGTTCTAATGTTCCTGAATAAAACTTATACTTCTCCATGTGTCACTTGTTAAACATTGTTCCCTTATATGGTAAACATTTTTACCATATAATCAATTTAAATATGAATTGTCATTTATAAAAAAATTAATCAAATAACTATATAAAATATGCAGGAAGAGAGAGAAAACAGAGCACATAAGTTCAGGTTAAATACCACATATAATGTAAAGAACCCAATAACGAATACTAATTCCAGAGCAGTATACTATTTTCATCCATTTCTGATTAAAGTACATCAAAAGTAAGCACGACACACAGACTGATAAAACCAACGAGTCCTAATGCTACAAATGAAAAATTAACTTTTTGACCACTCTGTAATAAAAAGACATAGAAAGTGATTAAGCATGCTCTCATTCAATATGATTACAAGTATTTAAAAGTCATTATATAAAATGCGTACGAAAGTGTACGATCATATCGCACTGTACTCCAGTTAGGTGTTGATCTTACTATAAACAAGACTGTTTTTGATTCATGCATTGTTACAATAGGTAGGCTTAACACACCATTATCATTTTGGTTTCATAAAGTATATTTTCAAATAACCAGCGTGCAAGTTAGGCTCCCGTGAAATTTATTTTTGGTTCTTCACAAAAGTTTACTGCCTCTAGCAATAAACTCCTTAATTACTACCTAAAAATAGTGAAATAAGTGATTAACGATATTTCTTTTGGTACTTTAACAGCAATACCTTTGGATATAACTTGGTTTTTGCTCTAGGAGAATCACAAAGCTTTGATTTGAGGAGTGCTGAGCTGGCAGGACTGACTTTTTCTTCAAATAAATAACGATAGGGCGAGGACGGAACCGAAAAGCTTGTAACATTTATATCTCTGACTGACAAGGTGGAAGTGCTGGACTTTGGTCGGTTTTTTGGAGTTGACTGTGCTCTTGGGGATTGTACCACCTGTTCTTCTGGAACCATCCCACTTGAAGATGTTGAAGTAGTGACGTTATCATTTCTTTCTGAACTAGAATCTCGATCTGCTAAACAAATAAAAAATGAATAGATTCATATCTCAATTAAGTAGAAATCTGTAAAGATGGTTAAAATAACAAACTGTATCTTTAAAACAGCAAAATGACAACTGGTCAAACAAGTTAGACATAAAAAGTATAAATATCAACTAAGGTTAAGATGATACTTGGGTAAATTTCAAATATCACAGATGTTAAAAAAAAACAATGTTTACTCGTACACAATAAATATTTATAAAAGAGACTGTCTCAAAATACAATAAAATGTTTACTCAATAACTTACTGTCATGACAAAGTAACATCTTGAAACATGTTGTGTATAGAAAACCATTCCAAGTTTCATGAAAAACCTTGACTTTCTATTGGTTATAGGTAATATATAATGATATGTAAAAGAGAACTATCAACGAATTGTGAAAGAGAGGATGTGACAGGTGTGTGTGTGGCAGGAGGCGTCTGATTTTCTATTTGATAGCTCTGTAAACAAACAAAACTGAATGCTATAAAAGTTATGGTTTGTTTGAGCAATTATGATTTTACAGAGTATTTCATGTTTAATTTCGTACTTTTTCGAAGGGTGATGGTTAAAATAGGGATGATGACATGGTAAGAAAAATGTGTCATGTGGGTCACACTAGGGGAAATTCAGGATTTTTTTAATATATTTCCATATAGATTTAAGAACTTAAAACTTGTATACTATTAAAATATGGATTATTAGCTAAGATTTTAAGCTATTATAACTGGTATAACATAAATCAAAAGTAGTTTAATAAAATTTTGAATGTCAGACACTAAAATATTGTGTCATGCTCAGTAAAGGATACCCGGGGCAACAGGGTTAAAGTACTCTCGAAGAGGGCTAAGAAAGTTCACTGAACAAACAATCTTTATGCTAATATAATTTAGTATCCATTTATAAATGCTAAAAGTAAACATAAAATTAGATAAAAAATCTGCATGCTAACTGAAATTAATAATCATTTACATGCTTCGTAAGTATAAAGTAAACCAATAAAACAAAGGCTTGGGCCGGATCTCCAATATGTGAGAAACACATAAACATGGGTGTGCACACTTTTTGATATGAAACTTTTACACGCAATAGATGTGGTAAATGTTAGCTTAGGTAGAAAAATAAAATCAGAAATTTTACCACTCATGATAAACTATGTTAAACAGTTACCAAACTTTGAAGGTTATACACCCCCCCCAAATCATTTATTTTTTTAAATTGAGTACTTTCCACAGACCATCAACAACCATTTTTCTCAGTTCTGTTACAATAATGAAGTTATAAGAAGTATTTGATCTATTATTTCATTGCTTTATCACTATCATCTCTATACATACAAAATTTAGTTGCGTTTCTTAATTAACTGACACAAGAATAATTTTAAATATTCACATTTCATAATGAACAACACTAGCACAGCTGTAATTTATCATTTCTTAAAATCAGTACTTACTAGAAGAAGCTCCAGTTATTTTTTCAGAGCTTGAAAAAGACCCTTGGTTTTTCATGCCACTGTTTCTCGGTGACAGGGATTGAGACCTCTGCTTTTCCCATGCTGTTAGCATGAGTTTCTGTCTTTCATCTCGGCACCTTTCTAAATTTCCTATAATTTAACAAATAATCACGTATAAGGGGTTCCAGTAAAACAAACCCAAAGAATGTTCAAAATATTAAAGAAAGCTGCACCGTGCAGAGGAATAAAATGTGAGCAGGAGTTAATTTTTAAATTATCAAAAGGCATCATTTGTTTCAATTCTATATTTTATCTTTTTAAGAGGTACACATACTACCTGAAAATCAGGAATTACTTTTCTATTTAACTTAGTTACTCAGTACTAATGTGAATAGATATAACTGCCCGTTCTTTGATCAAAAAATCTATCTATACACAAAACATTGCTGCATAATTTGTGGTTAAATAGACTTTATAAAAATAGATTTTCTTACAAGAATCTAAATTTCAAGCAGACTAATATAATAAATAATATAATAGAAACAAAAATGATGCATATATTTTCCTTTTTCCCAAAAATTTTTTCTTGCAGGTTGTTTCAAGAACAACAACAACAAAAATCTCAGTCTGAAGCATTGTCCAGGATCAACCTCAACTGGTACCATCCTAAACCCAGGTTGTTTCAACAACACAAGAATTTCAGTCTGAAGCATTGTCCAGGATCAACCTCAACTGGTACCATCCTAAACTCAGGTTGTTTCAACAACACAAGAATCTCAGTCTGAAGCATTGTCCAGGATAAACCTCAACTGGTACCATCCTAAACTCAGGTTGTTTCAACAACACAAGAATCTCAGTATGAAGTATTGTCCAGGATCAACCTCAACTGGTACCATCCTAAACTCAGGTTGTTTCAACAACAACAACAACCACGACACAAAAATCTCAGTCTGAAGCATTGTCCAGGATTAACCTCAACTGGTTCTATCCTAAACCCATTTTTTTTATTCATAGCTAGTTTGTCGGAAAGCCTACGTACCATGATTAGATGAAAGTCTCAACCTTAAAAATCAACCCTAAACAAAACCCATAATATACACCTTATTCAGAGTAATTCACAGCCAGATAAAGCTCTCAACTGGAGGGACAAGATATGACCTCAGATCATCCTTAATCAGCAATAGCTCATACTTATGACATGATAGAAAACTTTTGAACACAGTTTACAAACCTTACTCATTTCCTTCATTAAATATAAACAAACTGCAAACTTAAATTCTCATACAGACACACACACACACACACACACACATATATATATATATATATATATATAAAGAAGAAATACAAAATTTGCTTCAAAGTGAAGCACTGTTATATCATAGAAATAGAGAACATGCTGGTATAAAAGGTAAAATTCAAATTTTATTCAAACAATATGTAATTCAAGTTCAGTTTAAAACTTAAACCTGGTGATATTGCTAAAACCTAAAAAAAGACAATACTAACTTCATCAAAACTACAAAATTTTAACAAAGTTTTACGCTTTTAGGATGCAGGAATCTTTTAAACATGCAAGTTTTTTTTATTAGTAGCCGTGACGCAGGTTTGGGAAGCACTGTTCTAAAGGTGTACAGACCATTACAGTATTAAACATCAGCAGCTGAAAATGAAGTGTAATGATCAATTCTGAAATTTTTCTTTTTGAAATACAACCAAGAAACTAAGTTTTTGAAACAACTTTTGAGATAAAAAAAAAAGAGATAAAATAAATGCAACATTCCCAACAAAATGTGTTTAAAGAATTTTCTATAGATTTTCAAATTGTTCAATGATTTTATTAGGCTTGTGCACGTATCATTAAGTAAACAATAATTATATTATGCTCTTAGAATAATGTTTTCCTGCATAAGTAGATACTTCTACAACTACCTCCATTATCCTTCAAAACAGGAAGATTTATAAAAAATATGATGTGAAATCAAAACTTACTTAATCTGTTGGCTTCATAGTCTTGAAACAGTTTCAAAACCTCATCTTTTGTTCTTCCATTACCATATTCTTCTTCAAAGTCTCTAAGAGATTTCTGAAGGAGTTGGACTGGCTAGATGTATTTCAAATAATTTTTTTAGTTGTGTGTTTGACACCTTTTAGTAATTTGCATGAGAAAATATTCTTTAAAACATATAATATTAACTTAACATTAATACTTTACAGCTTTTTTTTTATTTGTCAAGTTTAAAAAAAATTAAGATATAGATATATTTAACAGGTTTATTATCCAAAGTCAGAGCTACTTTTTCTTGATAGAAATAAACTTCACATTTCTTTCTTTAAACAAAATATATTCTAAAGAGCCAGAATGTATTGATATCACTATCAAATATTCATGATTTGAACAAATATAAATCACTGAGGTTAAAAAATAAATATATGGATTTACATTTCATCGTGTGAATTCATTGTTTCAAAATAGGTATTTATATTCATAGAGAAATAAATTATAGAAGTTATCCTGTAAGACAAATAATAAAAGGAATTCTACGATTGCCAGATAATTTTAGCTTTCTCTCCTCTAGTGATATATATAATTTCATTTACTAAAATTTACAATAATTTCTTATTAATCAGTTAAATTGTGACTTAGGTAATACTCAATTACATAATACTGTTTTATCTATATGTAACCAAGCCATTAACATTAACTTTACTTTTTACTGTCTTATACACTTTAACTGTCATTTTATATTTACATAAATTCATATGAAATATAAAAGCTGTGGAGCTGACATGCTGCTATAGCCACATTTGTTGGTGCGTACTCAGAAAAGTGAAGAAAGTAAACGTTAACCAGTAAATAATTGTGCTTCCATCATTTGAGAACACTAATGATTGCTGAAAAGACTATTTAAATCATAAGTGTTAACCTGATTTACTTTTTATTATTGTTATGAATGACGATGAGTGATAAATCTTAGATGGATTTTCAATTCGGACTTTTCAAAACAAGAATTTCCTTTCACAAACAAATCTTAAAAGGAGAACATATGAAAGAAGTTTTTTGTATATTTATTTGTTGGGTAATTTATTATCCAACCATTCACATCTTACAGAATTTAAACTGTAAGAAGACAAAATAGGAATAAGAACTTTTGTAAAGTTTTTTGTAATTGTGTAAATGTTACACAATTAACAAGATAAGTGACAACTCCAGTGAATATATATTATGCAGACAGAAAAATAAAATTTGTTGTTTCAATACAATTTTCACAAATAATTTGGAAGCAATTCATACAACATTCTATTTTTTTATTTCAACTGAGCCACCACGTAGTGTTTCACAGAGTACGAACCTAAGTACTCTTCAAAGCTTATCGTGTACTTTCTTATAGTACGATAATTAAAAATGTAGAGCTCTTCCAT